CTATCAAGTGTCTTCAAAGTTAGATCTGTAACAAAGACCTTAATAAATGCAACGGCCTCTAAAGAAGAGCTCGTCTGTCTGCCTGATTGAAAAGTGGGTTATTGAATCCGAAGTTTGTTGCTTCGGCCCTGGAAGACTGCAGAGAGTCATCCCCTGATTTCCTCGACTACGGTCTGGGAGCCGACAGGAACGTTTAACAATCTGATGTTGGATAGATGGATGGACAGTACCTGACAGTCTGATCAGAGAGCCATCCAGCATCACACTGGTGGTAACCGTCATCGTAGGCCGCCTGCAGCTGGGCGGGGGTGGCGATGGTGGCGCTGTTCTGGAGGCAGGCGGCCTTCGCCTTCTCGTATGTCAGGGTGTAGCGGGTGGTGATGGCACGGTAGTGGAACACAATACCTGTAGGACACGGAAAGTGAGTGAAGAGAGAACACTTTGAAGTAATTATTCCAAGACAGTGGGCTTGTTAAGACCGTCATACAAATTGTTTGATTCTTTTGAAACTGGTTTGTGGCCAACCAAACCGTGGTTTCTCAAGAGGTGTAAGCCTGCATCATTTGATAAGGTCTTGATATTCTCATCTTCTGACAGAAGTTTTTTTGTGTATTAAAATCATTGTTGTTGAGTAGGAAGACAATCTTGTCACTTCAAAATATAAGAAACGTGACTTAACCTATCTTCCTAAACATAAATATAGATACAAATCCATTTATGATGTAACAAAAAAGCTTCCCTATGTTTATTTAGAGAATTGTTTTCTGTTTTTCAATCATCATGTCAATATCCAGGTCATATTGTTCTTTGGGTTTTCTGTTGGTTTTGATAAAACAAATGTTGGCTTTTTAACGGTTTAGCCACTACAATAAGGCTTTCTTAATTGTTGCTTCCTTGTTGTAACATGTTCTAATATTGAGTGATTAGATGGCCTTCCTCCTGTCAGCCCAACACATTTGTGAACTACAGTTGAGTATACAATGCAACCAGTCTCCTCTATTTCAGTTTTTTACCTAATGTTTGAACTTTTTTTAGGTGTAAAATGACTTGTGGTTTGAAAATTACCTTTGAGAGAGGATTGCTGGCGCTAAGTTGTCGTCTGTACTGTTAGCGGGTTGACTAGCATTTGGTGATAATGACGTTAATATCGTAGTGAACAACAACACGTACCCTGAACCTGAATGTCCACAGAGTCGTAGTTGTCCTCGATGCCGTGCAGCACCTCGCAGCGGTACGTTCCCGAGTCTTTGGACCGCAGCTCTGTGATCTCCATGGTGGCGTCGGTGGCCACCAGCGGGTAGTTGATCATCGTCACTCTGTCCAGATACTCCGTCTCCACCTGGACTTTCCCCTCAGACGCCACCAGGATCGTGGTGACTTTCTCCTTTGTGACATGGCTCCATTTGATGCGGTGTGAGAGCGGAGTGACGGTGGGGGCTCCGGGGTCATTCACTGTGTTGTCCTGGAAGTAACAGGGTACGACCACCTTGCTGCCCAGCAGAGGACGCAGAGGCATCTCCAAGGGGATGCTGACACGCATCGTGCCGTCCATGTCTACGGATGAGATCATTTGTTGGTCTTTATTTTATTTTTTTAATACTCGTTTTATTGTCATTTTTGTAAACATTCACACATAACATACATACATACATACAACACACACCCACATACTACATGCATACAACACACACCCACATACTTACATACATACAACACACACCCACATACATACATGCATACATACAACACACACCCACATACATACATGCATACAACACACACCCACATGCATACATGCATACAACACACACCCACATGCATACAACACACACCCACATACATACATGCATACAACACACACCCACATACATACATGCATACAACACACACCCACATACATACATGCATACAACACACACCCACATACATACATGCATACAACACACACCCACATACTTACATGCATACAACACACACCCACATACATACATGCATACAACACACACCCACATACATACATGCATACAACACACACCCACATACTTACATGCATACAACACACACCCACATACATACATGCCTACAACACACACCCACATACATACATGCATACAACACACACCCACATACATACATGCATACAACACACACCCACATACATACATGCATACAACACACACCCACATACATACATACATGCATACAACACACACCCACATACATACAACACACACCCACATACATACATGCATACAACACACACCCACATACATACAACACACACCCACATACATACATGCATACAACACACACCCACATACATACATGCATACAACACACACCCACATACATACATGCATACAACACACACCCACATACATACATGCATACAACACACACCCACATACTACATGCATACAACACACACCCACATACATACATGCATACAACACACCCACATACATACATGCATACATACATACAACACACACCCACATACATACATGCATACAACACACACCCACATACTACATGCATACAACACACACCCACATACATACATGCATACAACACACACCCACATACATACATGCATACAACACACATCCACATACATACATGCATACAACACACACCCACATACATACATGCACCCACATACATACATACATACATACATACAACACACACCCACATACATACATGCATACAACACACACCCACATACATACATACATACAACACACACCCACATACATACATACATACAACACACACCCACATACATACATGCATACAACACACACCCACATACATACATGCATACAACACACACCCCACATACATACATACATACAACACACACCCACATACATACATGCATACAACACACACCCACATACTTACATGCATACAACACACACCCACATACAGACATGCATACAACACACATCCACATACATACATGCATACAACACACACCCACATACATACATGCATACAACACACACCCACATACATACATACATACATACAACACACACCCACATACAGACATGCATACAACACACACCCACATACATACATACATGCATACAACACACACCCACATACATACATGCATACAACACACACCCACATACTTACATACATACAACACACACCCACATACATACATGCATACAACACACACCCACATACTTACATACATACAACACACACCCACATACATACATGCATACAACACACACCCACATACTTACATACATACAACACACACCCACATACATACATGCATACAACACACACCCACATACATACATGCATACAACACACACCCACATACATACATGCATACAACACACACCCACATACATACATACATACAAACACACACCCACATACATACATGCATACAACACACATCCCACATACATACATGCATACAACACACACCCACATACATACATGCATACAACACACACCCACATACATACATGCATACAACACACACCCACATACATACATGCATACAACACACACCCACATACATACATGCATACAACACACACCCACATACATACATAAACACACCCACATACATACAATACAACACACACCCACATACATACATGCATACAACACACACCCACATACATACATGCATACAACACACACCCACATACATACATGCATACAACACACACCCACATACATACATGCATACAACACACACCCACATACATACATACATACAACACACACCCACATACATACTCAAATGTGTGCAGAATAGTTGCACATATAACCTACATCGCTCTCTGGGTGACAATAATCTCACCTTAATCATGCGGCAATATATCTATGTATATATAGCTTAATACCAATTACTTAAATACAAGCACAGAGAAAATGAATAAGAATAATACATTATAATCATAATGGCCTGAGGTGTGGCTTCATTACAATGAGAAACATCAAATAGAAGGGAAATACATATATATATATATATATAGTAATAATAATAACAAAGAAATGGGTGGGGGGGAGGGATGCCATACATTGTGCCGTCTCTTTTTTTGCATTTGTTAGTCTTTTAATTTGCTTATGAGGATACTAGTTGAGTTTTGCTCAAGAAAAGGTGTACAAGAAGGAGCTGGTTTATCGATGGTTTAACGTGATCTACCAAATAAGGAAACTGCTGATCCATAACACATGTTAAAGGACTACTTATTACGACTTGTCTCTAACATTGCTCATGACTTTTTTTGGTAATGTCTCTGGTAAATTAGTATGAAAATAACTTGGGAAAAAAAGGGATGAAAACTCATTTGAAACTGGAGGTCGAACAGGAAATAAACAGATACACAATCGGACTTTCTGACAGCAGCTGCATACTTAATCAAATGGTAGATTGCACAGATTTAAATAAATATCTGACATTTTATAATACAGTTGTATGTACATTTCTAATCTTCAAATCAAGTTCCCAAATCTCTAGAGTTAGACATTGATGATATAGATAAGGATAGTAATAAGGATCTAATAAAACATCACTTACCGTCATGGTTTTCAAGCTGGAATACTACAGTTGCCGAGATGAAGGGCAAGGACACACACAGCAGAAGCAGGGGGGTCATCGTTACCTGAAAAATACCAACATTTGAGTCACTTTTGTACAGAGAACATCATTATTCAGACCTTCAGAGCTCAAATGTACTCAAAGCCAGTTTGTATGGTGACCTTTTTGGATCACTTACTGAGCGATTGGCTTGATTTGCAGAAATGGAAGACTAAACAGAGAATATTAAGGGAATTCAAACTAATGCAACCTTTTCTAACTTCTCTTTACCAGAAAGGCTGCACTGAGTGAACAGTGAAGTTAGTGTTGTGTTGGGGTGGGTTCATCCTCATTTCCTCTGCCCCTGAATGCCACTGTGTGTTTCCCCCCCTAACTCATATTCCATTTTGTCTGACATACTCAATGCGTTTGGTTATTACGTCAGACCCATTGGCTAAAATGGAAAGCGGATGTCATGACTCTGTAGTATCGTTTGGAAATGCTATACATGCTCACTGAGGAATGAAAGCCCCTCTGTTACAGCCAGAGGAACTTCCTTTAGTCATACAACTCAGTTTAAGCTGAGTCATTCATTTCAAATGCCTTTCCATGTGTTCAAAACCAATGAAGAAACACATTTTTAATCGGGCTTTTTTTCCAACTTCATTCTTTGTGTCTTTGTTTGTATGCCAGGGCAGGTTTGCCTTCGCTAACTGTACGGAGGTTCAGTCACTGGTACATTTTTATATACAAAGCCATGTTAGGGAAACTTCCATCCTACATCTGCTCCCTGATCTCACGGCGAATCTCACGGCGAATTGTAAGTGGCTACTGCCTAGGGCTGCTCGATTATGACAAAAATCATAATCTCGATTATTTGGGTCAATAATTGTAATTGCGATTATTAAATGCGATTATTCATTGACTTTGAAAACATCCATTTATTGGAGAAAATGTGAACAGTATGTACCCTGAACTTTAAGTATAATTCAACTGAAAAACCAAAAAAAAAAAACATTATTTAAAAAAAAAAAAAAAAAGTAATAATAAAAAAAAAATCGTTTTATTTCGAATACGTTGTTTTCGTAATCGTTGCAAACCAGAATCGTAATCGCGATTAAAATACGATTAATTGAGCAGCCCTACTACTGCCTGAGATCGCATGCTGTGGTTTTATTAATGTGCCAACTGCTAGGACTGTTTTAGGGAAGATAGCTTTTAGATGCGCAGCTCCTCTGTCTTGGAATAGTCTGCAACTGAAATGGAAACTGAGCAATCTGGTGCCACTAAATGTTTTGAAAGCTCGGTTGGATGCTACTCAATCGGAAGCCGTTGGTACCTGTTCATGTGGATAGTTATGCAAATTGTAATCCCTGTAATGATGCTGTATGATGTCCTTTTTGTTGTTCTGTTGTTTTATGTTTCATGTGGAACCTACTTGAGCAGGTCTCCCTTGAAAAAGAGATCAATGATCTCAATGGATACACCTGGGTAAATAAAGGTTTGAAATGAAATGTGTCTGTTTGCATAAAGTGTCTTTTTGGTTGTAAACTAGAACAAGAATACATCGTCTTGCCAACATCAGTTTATCTTGCAATGCAATGAGCCACATTTCCCACAAGAAATCTAATATAAAGTCTACATTTTTATTCAATTCTTGCCAAGCTATGGGAGAAGCATGGTTTGGTCCACCACTTTACTGCAGACTCAAATCTTCTATATTGCCCTTTTTTGCTTTGTCTGTCTTTGTTGATCTTCTGAATGTTCCATCTAGGGCCAACAGGAGGTGGATATATAGGATCTTTAGGGAAATGTCTCAACTTATATTGATAGATTGACATGATAAGTTTGCACATTTATGTTCCCGTCAGGATGAAATCAAACAACTTTGATGATCCTGTTTCATGACTAAATTCCTGCCAAACTGACGACATCCCCTCTTATCCTTATGGTAATTCTTGCAAGCGAAACTAAAATGCTGAACATCTTAAAGCATAACAGTTGCTAATCTTCAATTTGTTGGCATTGTCATTGCTGACATTAATATTTAGCTCAAAGCTCCACCGACTGCATAACATTTTTGTCTTGCTTCTTCGTTTACAATTTTTTTTTCATTTCATCTATTTATACGGTCACTAGGTCATGTTTGAGCATAAATATCATTCAATATCCTGAACTTCAGTCTAAAAACATGGCCTCCGCTATCACAAACCCTCATCTGTGAAACCCTGATTACCGCTTGCTTGTTTTTCCTCAGCTTTCCGTTACTGCACGGTGCAGCGCGGTCCAAAAGTACCAAACCGTTCAGAGTCCCAACTGAACCCTCATTGTGCTGCGTTCACGAGCCTCAAACTGCCACACAGAAACATTTACAACCAATAAAACCTGGAGCCAAGAGTCACAAAGCGTTTGCAGTAGCTGGCGGTTGAGATCATGGCAAAAGGCTATAAGAGAAATTCATTGACCTTTTGAATTCAATGACTCGGCATTAAAAACAAGATCATATGTATTCACTGTAACACATCTGCAGACATTACTGTATATGTATGCATACTACAACCTGAAGAAGTATGTGTGTGTGTGTGTGTGTGAGAAAGAGTGTGTGTGTGCTGCTAGCATTCTCAGAGTTCCACAGATCCCGTACAGTAAGACTAATATTTGCCCCGTTGTCTCAGATTGGTCTGAGAGTGAATGTTTGCTTAGTTTGAGAGGAAACATAAAATCCCTCACAGCATATGTAGACATACAGACGAATCCACCCTGAAGTAGTCACTCACTGTTATATATTTCATTATAGGATGTGCTGACCACCCCAGGAACATCTTTAAAATGACTTAATATAACTGATGTTGTGTTGTTTTTGGGTATTACTATCACTTTCCATCAACAACCTCCCATGCAGTGAGGTGGAAGTGTACTTCAGGGTGTGTCAGTACAACATGGCGTCACTGGTGGGCGTGGTTCCAAATGTTCTGGCCACATCCAATCAAACCCATCATGTTCGTAAAACCAACCGAACTCACTCCAAACTCAGTAAAGCTTTGTCAAACGCTATGACAGTTTTGGACGTACAGTTTCCATAGTTACATGCGATGGTCTACGGATTAAAACAAAACACAAAACTAGAGGTTTAACACATTTTTAAGTTTACTTACGCAACAAAACTACTTGGTTAAGCCTCGGAAAAGATTGTTGTTTCGGCTAAACAAAAACACTTGGTTCATAACTGCTGTTAGTTCATTGCAGAAGTCGCCTAACAAAAGCAAAGTAAAATAAGTTACTTTTGGTGAACGTATTTTCAGTTTGACCCATCCGTACTCCTCCTGCAAACCTGAGCGGATTTTCTTGCTGTGTGTAGACGTCTATTCATCCAAAAAGGATGCGAATTGGATGACAGGACGACGGGCACTGATCAGGCGTCGGTATTGGAGTCAGAAGATAGACTTGGTTGGTTTTTAGTCGGGTATTACACTACTAATTTGCTACTTGTTAAGAAAAGTATGCGCCTAAAGTTAGTGATAATGAGTTTCAAGGACGGGTAAATAATGAATCCTTTCTGTTCTGTATTCGTCACTCTGGTTGTATGTAATTCTTACATGGAATTACACCGCGTTATATCAGAGTCAAGATGGGCCTTCCGTTAAAACAGGGGAGTTTATATAAAACAGTGAACGTCACTCTCACAATGTATTAACACAGAGAAAGCCAGAGAGAAACCCTCAGAGCGAGCGCACCACAATCCGATAATTGAGCAGACTCTTTAAATGCATCATTTAAACTTTGGCCACTTATGTGCACTAGCATTCGTGAGCCAGCCACAGCAGGCCAGGTACATCTTAACTCAACTGAGAGGACGCAGTCAAACCAGGCTTTTCAGTCTGGTATTAAGTAACACTTGCCAAAAAAAGTCATGGTTGTCTATCTAATGCTTTCTGTTCTGTGTTAGTTCTTCTGGTTGTATTTCTGCCTAAAAACAATGAGTCATATGTTCTTTTACATCCACTTATTATCTCTGGAATAGGCGGTAGTTCTGGACGAGTCGTGCACAGCATGTCAATTCAGGCTTGTTGCGTTGATCAAGACTGTTCCTAGGTAACGTCCAGTTTCCCCTACAGTTATTTTAACTTGAAAGTAAACGTACGTAGGTTTACTTGGTGTTTAGTTTCACTTACAAACTGTCACTGCTTTCTGTTCTGTATTAGTCGGTGGTTGCCTAAAAATACTATGTTCTCTTACATGAAATTGCAATGCCTTATGTCAGAGTAAAGGAATCTGCACTCTCATGATGTATTAACTCAGAGTACGCCAGGAAAAAAACTCAAATACTTGCCAAAAAAAGTCTCCAAAAAGTTTAGAGTTTCATGTTTCTTTTTAGATCAAGTGGTAATGGTTATCCATTAGGATATCTAGTAGTACACTATTAATGCTTTCTGTTCTGTAGCAGTCATTCTGGTTGTACTTCTGCCCAAAAACAACGAGTCATATGTTCTTTTACATAAAATAATTCTTTCTGGAAGGCGGTACGGTTGGACGTGTCGTGCACTGGTTCTGGTTCTGGTTGTCTACAAACAAGGAGTACTATGTTCTTTTACATGGAATTACAATGCCTTATGTCAGAGTCGAGGAAACCACACTCTCATGATGTATTAACACGGAGAACGCCAGGAAAAAAACCTCTCCCCACATCTCAGAGCGAGCCAACCAGAACCACGTCTCCTTGCTGTCACGATCCCATCACTGAGCAGACACTCTTTGAATGCATCATTTAAACCAGGGGTGTCCAAACTGTGGCCCGCGGACCATTTTGAATCGGCCCCCAGCAAATTGAAAAAGTATAATGGAATATGGCCCACAAATGAAACTTCTGCTTGTCTTATATTGTACTTCTTAAGACTATTTTTCAAATAAATTCAGTCAATTAAAGTTGGAAACATTTTCTAACATATCTTAGTTGATAAGGAAAAAGCCCAAGGACTTATTTAGATAACAAGCTTGAAATACACCCTTCCTATTTCTCCTTATGATAATCAACCTGAGGCTTCTGTTTTAAGGGATGAGCTGCCAACACTCACATACTTTACCTACATTTGATTGAGTTTGTTAACTTATAACTGAACTTATGAGGCGATATACCTCTAGTGAGCGGCCCAGCCCTTCGTACATTTCTCTGTATGTGGCCCTCGGTGAAAAAAGTTTGGATACCCCTGATTTAAACTGAGGCCACTTCATAACGTGCACGAGGCATTCAGGAGCCAGGTAAAGCCAAGCAGCCCTCTCCCTCTCACAGTGAGTCCATTCAGTCTGTGGGGTGGTTGCAAACTCCCCCGTTCGGCCGCTGTGGTATGTTCCGCTCCAGCTGAGGTGGGGGGGGGGTGGGCAATAAGGCCATGGTCTGTTCCTGCAGCGGACCGGGGGGGGGTGCAGCCCTGCCAAGGTAAACACAAGGCGGGCATCCAGGGCAGCCTCACCACCTCCCCCCCCCCCCCCCAACCCTCCAGAGCCCCTCAGCAGGAGAACAGAGTTGACATTGATACACACACAGGAACACAGACCTACACTCATAGATTACCGTGGGGATGTGTGAGAACGCACGTCCAAAGCCCCTGGTGCAGAAAACGCATCGGAGTGTGTGTACATATGTCGCTATTGACACATACTGTAAGGCCTGTGTTTGAGAACACACACCCACACACACTCTTGTACAGTTAGCTGGGGGAACATTTCATATTGGCAGGTGCTTATGAGTGCTTTAGTACAAGACTGCATACAAAGATGTGCTTCAGCAACATGTGTCATTATATGAGACGACACACGCTTGCTATGACTGTATAACAGATACCTCTGCATGTAAAGTGTAGAGATATTTGCTTTAACTCGGTGTTCGACAATTCTCCTTTTCAACGTCTGAAAATTACTATTCTCCACATGCGCTCCAACAGCCCAATGTTACCATAGCAACAGTCACTCTTGACAGTAGTTTCCCATAATGCAAAAAGAAATCCCAACAATCAAACCCAGTGTTCTACCTGTCACATGCTAAATTCACTATTTCATTTTGAAGAAACATTTCCTTTGCTTTCCCCGTCTTTTCATTTCAGACTTGAAGTGTTTGAAACTAGTTGACATATATCACATTTCTATATCGGCAACACTGAGCCAGGCTGAAGTGTCTGGAATAACTAACGTTTTGTGTGGGCTTTTGCACATTTCAGTATCTCTTTCCACAAACTATCGTCAGTACCAATCACATCTGATCCCACTAACGGTGGCGTTAGAAATATGAAATATGAATATAAGACGAAGAAGTAGAACAATTTATCTCTGCTACACAAATAGTTTTCATTTCCTTTCCTCTAGTCTTTGCTTGTTTGGTTGTGAATTACTGGGCAATTTCATGTTTTCAACCCTCTATAAATAACTGAATTACAGCTTTAAGTAAAGCTGTTAAAATGGTTATACACCAGACAACTCAGACACTGAATGACTACTTTATGTGATTTCATACATGCCACTCTCATGGTCTCCCTCGTGCAAACTCACTAACACATACGTCTAAATAATTCATCTTCTACATAGAATTATACGTATTATTATATATGTATGTGCAATAGGGAAAGTGCTGTACCTGTATGTTTCTTGTTTGTTTCTTTGCCATGTGATATGTGATCTCTATTCTGTATCTATGACTGATTGACCTGAATGTTTTATGTGTATTATCTCGATGCCCAAGACACATTTCTCCTAAGGGAGACAACAAAGCTCTATCTTATCTATACACATTTTCTGCCGTTAAGCTCTTATTTTTGCCACAATACACTCTATAAATCACAGTGCCATGAAATGAACGTAACAAATAAACCATCAACAGTGACCCAGCAGCACATCAAGTCAACTCGGCAAAACTCAGAAACCAAACCACAACAGCACAGCATCATGAGCACAGGAGCTAACTTTGCAATATCCATGCATCTTTATCATTAACATCCCCGACTTCAGAACTGCTTAATATAAAATAAATGAACTTCAGCCAAAAACATCTCTGCTTTGACACCCGAGTACAGCACCTCTAACAATACCTGTCAGAGGATGAAGAAGTGTCAAAACCTTCACAGTATTCCTTGTTAGGGACTCCGGAGGTGAGTTGGAAAACGTACCGTTGATGATCCAAAGCTCCCAGCGATTCCAGGGCCTCTTGCTCCTGCCTGAGTAAGAGAGCGGAAAGAAGCTTTATTCAAACTACAGCGCACATTTAGATGTTGGAAAGAGAGAGGGAGGGAGATAAAGAGAGAGAGGGAGAGAGAGAGAGAGAGACCCTGCCTGTTGGTGAGGTCACACACAGCCTTCACTATCAAACCTGAAGATACAACTTTAAAATAAAGGAAGGACTCTCGTTGCTCCTGGATAATGTCGGATCATGTGTCTTGTATTTATTTATGAAGCTATTTTACATAATCTCCCCCTGTCTCTAAACCCTGCTTCCTTGGAGTATTGGTATATACGCTTTATTAAGATATGTTTTTGTAATGATTTTCCAACTGATTCTCTCCTACAACTTGATTGGATGACTGAAGTTAAGTGGATCTGGGGAAAGTGTTGACTCAATTAAGAGGGAATTAATATAGTTAAGGTGTTTGTGTAATTCAGGAAAGAACCTTAAAGTACAAAGGGAACTAATTGATTCATTGCCCACCTTGTTAAATAGCATACATTGTGATTTTTAGGCGAGTGTTGAGGTTTTTCAAGACGAAAATCTCAAGTCAAAGAGAGGTCATGAGTCAAGTTTTATTTCATGTTGTCACATTGATTCTAACGTTTCCAATGTCTAACCCCACTATGATTAAAGTGGAAGTCATGTGACTAAGTGACACTAATTGCATCTGTGTGATTAAGAAGTTAAAATAGGGAAGTATACAGGTATATATATCCTGATATAGAGAGTTATATACAACACCTCATACACCATGTTCACCCACCCCATGGCTTCTTAATAATGGCACTAAAAACATGCACATCTTTCAGTTTCTTTTGTATAACGGGTCAAGCCAAAAAACTAAGTTTGTTAAAAATCATTTTCTCAAAAACAAAGTAAAGTAGCAGTAAAAAAATAACCTGTGTTAATGGCACTTGGCCTCTATAACAATGTCATTTACAACCCAGTTGCACCCCATAGACCCCTCAAGGAAAGGACAGGAACATGGCATTCACTGCAAAGTATAGAGCATCCATCTTGTGTGTATTATTTAAGTCGAAATACTCAATACAAGTGTCACATTTGTACTTTAGACAGTACTTTTTTCTCAGAATTCTGACTTTAATCTCATGAGAGAAGTCACGTGTCCCTTTTCCTCTTTCGTATTAAAACCATACTGAGAGCTGTATGCAATTTCTTAGTATTTTGTTGTTTGTTCAAATGACAAAAAAAAGCCCAAAAATCTAGCGGCATGTTTGAGTGAGCCCGTGTTTGCCTGCATGTGTGCGCCCACTCCGGTATGCGTACAGTATATACTGCCACATGTGTGTGCCGCTGGTGTCTGTGTGCTTTCAGCTGAAAGTTAAACATGTTGGCCTGAGGTTGAGGAAAGGCGTGTCTCCCCACCTTCTCCCACCAAACTCTATTCAGAGGTGTAAATACTCGCTGTGTGCTCCTGCACTCACTGACGCACACTTACCCTCCACATCCTCAAAGGGGAAAGTATTAGCAGCCCATTTGCTCTAATTTTGTGCTTATTTGCCACCTTGTTGTTTGTTCAGCAGCTGCACACAGATGAAATAGAAACATCAGGTTTACTCACCATCACTCATGTTAATCAGTTGTTGCATGGTAACATATCTGAAAGAGCAGCACAGAAAGTCAGACATTTTTATACCACAGAACATCTAAACATATATTTTATTGCTTTATTTTTTACAGGGTAAGTTTGCTCGGTGACACATACTCTTTTTGTGATCAACATTTAAGCACATTCACAGCTATAGCCTCCTCAACCACAGGTTTCTAATGTTGGCAGCAGAGAAGTTTCACTGCAGAGCTGCTGAGTGTTTCCCTCTGTGTAGGCCAGTCCAAATGGCGCTCTTAAAGTCACAATAATGCATCCTTGTTTCCCAATAAGTACATTCACACACAATGAAAATGCATTGTCATCGACGTTTTGAGGGAAACCTATTTTGTCTTGAGCAACAGATAAGCTTCTAATCAAAGTCCATGGAAGTTCACATATGGAGGAAGTCGATTCAAGAGGCAGACAAACATGATTTTTAACCAGAAGACCAAAAGTGTCAAACCCGATCTTTCTAAAACTGTCTCCACGATCCCTTCGAAAGAAATGTCATAATTCAGTATGAGACAGGGTTGGTTGGTGCCATCAGCATTTAAAACTCCTTGGCGCTTTGTTACACGGAAAATCCGTCTAATAACCACAGAGTAACTACTCACTTATTACAGTGATCTTTTGAGTATTTTATTGTCAACGTGAAGAGAGCCAATGCTGCTGTTGAGTCACTGCCTACAGCTCTTCTGTTGCCCATGAGAAAAAACATTAAATGTCAGACAAAGAAACTGTTTCTAGTCTACGAGACCATCGCCAGGTTTTCCACTGTATCGCCTACACTATGAAACAAATTCTCCAAAAATATGGAGGGTTATTCCTCCTCGCACATAATGAGTCATGTGTTAAGGACATAGATGTTACATTATGACTTAAAATGTGACGGTTAAAACATTTTGTCATGGAAATGGCTTTAAACAACTTTGCTACTTTACTTTCCTTTTCCACTTAGATGAGTTCCTGTTGAGTAATGTAAATGGGCTAGTGTTTGTTCACTGTTGGTTTAACTTGGGAACCCGTTAGCTTTTCCGCAGATTAGAGCCTGATAGGCGCTGCGTCATGACATCACGATGGAAGTCCCTGCATTTCCCAGCAATGGTAGCGTGACTTTCCCTGTGCTCATGTTGCTCTTATTCTTAGGAGCGAGATTAGGAGCAAACACATCTTCCAACGACTTTATACTAGGGCTGCCCAATTAATCGTATTTTAATCGTATTTTAATCGTATTTTAATCGCGATTACGATTATGGCTTGCAACGATTACGAAAACAACGTAAACGAAATAAAACGATTATTTTGTATTATTACTTTTTTTTTTTTTTTTGGTTTTTCAGTTGAATTATACTTAAAGTTCAACTGTTAAAAACATACTGTTCACATTGTATTTCTCCATTAAATTGATGTTTTCAAAGTCAATGAATAATCGCATTTAATAATCGCAATTACAATTATTGACCCAAATAATCGAGATTATGATTTTTGCCATAATCGAGCAGCCCTACTTTATACTATACGATAAAACTTTAATGGTCAGATCAAGTCTGAAATTTGACAGCAGCTCCATTTGCAACATCAACATGGACAAATATCAAGACACGAAAAAAACACACATTTAACATAACATCACAATCACTGAGAGAAACATGCTCAAAGAGCCTTTAGCGTGCTTTTGATGTGGGATTTAGCTCTGATCCTCTTCTCCAAACTCTGTACCAAGTGTTTTTGCTCTTGTAAAATCAAGCCTCAGCCTCCGTGGTTTAAGAACCGGGAGCTGGTGCCTCTGCTATCGAAGCATACAAAAACTGGTTTAAACTTGTCTCTATACCAGACCCTGACACGGCCTCAATGGAAAAGCACTTATTGTCAAGAAATGTTATAACATGTAAATGCTTGTTTTAGATGGATATCTTTCACCAGTTTCTGAGTTCATCAGGCGATTGAATGGCCACTTTATTTCACTACTACTCTAATGTTTCAGAAACTGTCAAACTTCAACCACTAGTAGGCCAGAGGATGCACGTCCAACATTAGGAAGAGTCTTCATTTCAATCCGCACCCCAAGAAATTCCTTTTCAAGGATTTTAATGCTAATGTTTTGCGAACCAGGGAGGCGTGTGGCGCAGTGGGCTATTGTGTCGGTGTGCAGGGGGGCACAGGTTCAAACCCCACTGCAGTCAGCATGTCATTGTGTCCCTGGGCAAGACACTTCTCCCCAAATTGCTCCTGTGGGGATTGTCCACAGTATTGAGTATGTAAGTCGCTTTGGATAAAAGCGTCTAACAAGTGACATGTAATGTAACCAGGCTCTTTCCTGCTTCTTCTCGGTTTGGGTTTAACTAAACTCGCTCTGATTTGTGTTCTCTTAAAAATGACTACAGCCGCTAGAGGTCAAAACCTTATTCTATTGGTATTGGAAAGCATCAATGTGAGGAAATGTTGTTGCATTCAATGTTTTTGCACATATTACATGAGGAACCGTGTTGTGAGTAAGGGAAAATGTGCAGCGAGGCGGTCTTTATTGAAAAAAGACCCGATACATACATACTAACAACTCGACTCGCAATATTAATTGAAAATATGTTATTGATTTCAAAATGATTGTGTTGCTTCTGCTTAGAAAAAAAACTTGGCGTATCATCGTCTGGAAATGCGACAATAATAACTTAATTTAAAGTGAACGGCAGCACTGATCGAGGTTTTCTGAAATTGTCCAAGTCTGTTTTCATTTTTTAACAAGCCCCTAAACAATGCCATGAGTCCATACCCTGATCCTGTTGGTGCTAACTTCCTTTCTGTCCTCTTCTGTTCATTCATCTGACGTCCAACGCTCAGTCTTTTAACCTTTCTATCTCTCCCTTGACCCTCCGCAGCAATGGTCATTATTTAGCTTAGTGTGTTATCGAGTATTAATAACCTCGGAAATGTCCGAATTGACCAATCAGAATTGAGTATTCCACTAATCTGTGTAATAACTACTGATAGAGGTCATTTTATGGGCTGTCATCTATCAGAGTGAGTGATAACTTAATTTAAACTATAGCTTTATTTAGGAACTCATCTTCAAGTGTAATCGGTTTTCCTCCAGTTTGACATTTAAAGGTCCCCTATTATACTGTTTTTCATCTATATATTATAGGTCTCAGATACAAAACATGTCTCTGAAGTGTTTGGCTCCAAACACCAAACAGGTCATTGCAGCATTACCCATAATCCCCTCTGTTTCAGCCCTGTTTCTGTTACTTTAGATGAAAATAAGGAGCCCCTCCCCACGCCCCTCTGAGAGAGATTTGGTTAAAAAGAACTCAATGGTGCTCTAGGAGGAGATTCAGGTGATAAGGTGGGGGGGGGGGGGGGGGGGGGGGGTTACCTTGGTTGCTGATTGGCTAATGGTTACACAAGACAAAA